AGGCGTAAAAGGGGCAGTTTCGGCCTCTGCCCCCGAAAACGAGCGGGGCCGGGGGCAGGATGGGGCCACGCCTGGCCCTTGGTGCGAGGAACCGGTTGCTCCTGTTAGGGACCCCGTGGAAAAGGGGAAGGCCTAACCCACCCCCACCTCCCCGCAGGTGGCCGTGGGGGAGCCTGAGACCGGGAAGCCCTCGTTGTCCCGAGCAGTAGCTTCCCCGGGACACCGAGGGCGGGTCCTGAGCCCTCTCGAGCCCACTGACCCGCGGCCGGCTCCGCCGGTGCCAGCGAACGGGAGCTGACGACTCCAGAGGCTGCCAGCCTGACCTGCAGGGTGCTGTGAAAAGCCTTAATCGTTAGAAAACCTTTTAAAGGTGTCTTAAACGTACTCAAAGCTTCCTGCCACGCAGCTGGTATTTACTCAGCGTGTGCAGCAAATGGCTGTTGGGGTTACCTGAGGAATTTTACTTAACCTGGCTTTGTTAGGAGAAGTACTTCGACAAGTAGAGGGCATGTGATGTGAAATAATAATAATAAATAATAATAACAAACTGTAATACCTTTCATTTATCCATTAGATTTTTTCAGGAATTATGGTCGAGCGTCCATTGTTTAATGACACTCTTATTTTGTTTTTTCCAACTAGTGATACTTTATGGGATCTTGCTATAGCTGAAGTAGAGAAGAGAGAAAACGCTGACGACGATGGCAAGCACGTGGAAGTTTGGGAAAAATCACTATTATTTATGGGAAACAAAAATGGGGTAACGCTAAATACTGTACAATTCTGTGCTTTTCGAACATAGTTTTTGTCAGGGAAAATATCTGATATTTTCAGACATTAAGGTCCACTTAATTCTTCTAAAGACAAAATATGTTATGTTCTGATTCTGCAGAGAGTAGGCATTCCACAAAGGGTGGACCAATTAGACATTATTACAATTCAGAATTTCAAGTTTATGGTTTGGAGAGTCAAAACTTCAACCATTGTTATCGAGGATGTGCTAATTCTTTCAGGTTTGGCTTCCTTAATTTTTGTAAAAGTAACTGCCGGAAATAATGCTACTCTTTAATTGTTTGACATGTCAAATTTCCCCTTGTAAAGGTTTAACTGGTAACAATCCAATTTAAGTGCATTGATACCAGTTTTGTTGTAGGTAGAGGCCTTGACATCCTGCTACGAATTGTGTCTGTATTGTGTCAGACCTATTTGAACATGCCTCATCAGTGATTGCAAACTCGTGATTCCACATGCCTAAGATTGTTTTAACTCATTGTCCCATAAGTTTGACCATTAGTAATTTCATATTTTTCATTTGTTAGCATTTATTTGTAAAGTAAATAAGGAAATACTCGCCTTTTTGACCAAGTGAGTCATATTTTTAAGAATACAACTTTTATTTTAGAAGGATTGGTATATGTGCAAGCTCTTAATCAGCAATTTTTAAAACACCTTTTCCAGAGAAAATACAATGACTTTTCAGATTTACCTGAAATTCACTGATTTTTGAGATAGGAAAGGACACAGGAGCAAACTGTAGAAGTGCTAGCCCCTTCAGTGTGGCATGGTACTCAGTGTCTGAATTTCAACAGTGTAAAGACATATTTTTCTGTATGTTTATTTGTATTTTAAGCATTCTTTCTATTTCCATCTCATCGGTAATAATTAATTCCAGTGGAAACCAAACATTACATAAATGTATTATTAATAATTAAAAACTGCTGAACAGTTAACAGAGTTGGCCAGGTTGATCACTAATGTCTAATTTTAAGCACACTATTCCTATTACTGTATTTGTCATCTCTTGGTTTATAATTATAATAATGGTAGTGTAACTTGATTCTGACAGAAAGTTGGCAGTTCCATTTCCACTATAAGGCTACAAACAATTACATGAGTTTACACTTTTCCGGTACTTTATTATTGGAACGTTAAATGAGTGAGTTTCATTTAGCGATACAACTTTTATGCTTTAATGACAGTACAGTAGGGTTCTTCTTTGTTTTTAATTTCCAGGGAAAGACCACTATTATACTGAGGTGTCTCGAGAGGTATGTGTTAAATTTTTAAAAGTAGTTTTCAACTGTGGATTAGAATTTTACATAAATAGTTATATTGTGTGATAATTCATAATATATGTATACAGGTGTTGTATTCTGTGACCGGTTGATCACTTATGGATAAACTTATTTCCCTTCATTACTACCTGTCATCTGACCCCTTCAGTCCTTCTTCTCCAGTATTAGAGAGCTTAAGTGGCCGTCTATTGAGGTTGGTGCTGCTACTTCTCCTGTCTTCAGCAGCTGAGACCTGTTGTCTTAAAGTGTCCTCTCTGTATTGCTGTTTCTAAGCCAAATTCTGAACTGACTGATAAATATAATTTAGTAGCTGTAGAATTAACTCTCTTTACTTAGAGGATCTTGACAAAATGAAGTTATTTTTCCTTGCATAGGGAAGAGATTCCAAAGCCAACATTAGCCTTGGAATATACTTTTGGAAGAAGGGCAAGGAGACACAATACAGTGAGTATCCAGAAAGTATAGTTTACCCCATCTTTTTATATATATATACACACACATATAAAAAGAATATGTTTTATTTTTATGTATAAGAATCTTAGGGGTTTTAGCTTATTGTTTGTGAAACAAAAAGGGGTTTTTAATATAATTTTATTTAAATTAGCTATCTTAATTTTGTATTTTAATCTGTAATATGTTTTTCCCTCTCACTAAACCACAGTAGATCAGAGACCAAAGTATAACACAAAGCAATCAATCAGATTCATCTATAAAAACTACCTTGTCTGTCGTGTTTGAGTGCTTTTATTTTCCCATTGTAACATAGTATGCATGCCTTTAACTTTGTCTTTAAAATGCAAAAATGAGTACAAACCGATGAAGATACTTTACAAACAGTTTTATGAGAGAAGCAGTTATCTTAGAGGATGTTAACCCAAAAATTTAATTATGATTTATATGTCCATATTGCTAAATTTTGCACTGCAAATTATGTTAACAGAAATACCGAACCCATTCCCATCACAGCACAATACTGCCCAGCAGCAATAACTACTGCTGCAGGTAATTGCTGTTTCTGTTACTGAAGCAGGGAGTGGAAAATCTGATTCTGAAAGATAAAAATCACTTAAAACTTTTCCCAGAAACTAAACGAGAAGGTGGAGATTCATTACTTTTCCAGTTGCGAACTTCTCAAAAAGCATTAGTCTTGAGCTGCAATAAACAAAAAGAAAGGGAAGAGAACCTGATTTTTTTATGTTTATCATTAATCATGCTTCTTCCTGACTTTTTTACTTTACCGTGGTCATTTATCAAGACAGTTGTAGGCATGCCAGGAGTCTTTCTAAGTGTTGTATGGGATTTCCTTAACATGGGAAGTTTTTTATTTGGTTTTGTTTTTCAGAAAATACTAGTGAAATAATATATGTTCTTGTTCTGAGTTATTTGCATGAAAAGCCAGTTTATCAGATGAAGATCTTCTCTTGGTGTTGCATGGAAGCACACGTTTCTAACATAAAAGAAACTCTTTTACAGCCTAAAGATATAGCTCATTTTTGGGAACTAGGTGGTGGAACCTCATTATTGGAACTGATTCGAATACCAATCACTAGCAACAACGTAAGGTAAGTGAATTCCAAAGTTAATTTCAGCTTCCCTTCAAACATAAGTAAACTTCTAGACCTTCTATTGTGGAAAACTCCTTCAAAATGTAAGACGGAACACTTACGATTTTTTTCTAAAAATCATTGTAATACCACTGATACTTTGCTTTGACCTTCCTTTTCACGGTTCTCTCCTAATAAGCCAAGTTCTTAGCAATCTCCAACAACAACAAGAAAGCGATAACATGAAGGAAATAGGTTGGCCTTAAGTAGGTAGAACAAGAAATACAGAAAAAGAGAAGACATAGTATCTTCATGCTCAATGAAAGAGCAGAAAAAGCAACTTGGGGGCATACGAAAAATAAAATCTTGCTTCCTACTTCTGTATGCAAACATAAATGCTATCTCTGTGAGGGGCCGTATTTTTGGGTGAAAAATAAGGCAAAAAATTGTGACAAAAAAATATCTGGAGTTTTAGGAAATGAAGTGACCATCTGATGAGAAGATCATCATACAAGAGAGATGATGTTTCTGAGAGGGACTAAAACTATTGAAATTATTTGAAGACAAAAGGAAACAGGAATTTAGAGAGAATTAAGAGAACGTAGTGAGAAAAATCCATAAAAGTGGTGGAATGGCATAGGAAGAAGAAATGCATGAAGAGTTGCATGAAGAAATGAGAAGGTGACGGTGGGTGCATTTTATGTTTTTTCTGGTTAGGGAAGACGGAGTGGGAAGTGGAAGAGGAGAAAAGGATCAAAAGATACGTTTTGTATTATTATGCATTGCTTTATTCCTTTGGTAGTGAAGACAACTTTTTTGTCTGGGGGAAAAAAAAGGAAATAAAAAGGATCAAAAGATACGTTTTGTATTATCATGCATTGCTTTATTCCTTTGGTAGTGAGCTTTAACGTCTGTGGGGGAAAAAAAAGGAAATTAAAAAGGAGGGATACAATTTTTATCATGTACATCTGCTGCTGTTTTGGCTATTGAGATAATGCCATTATCTAGTGAGAGACTAAGACGGAATAAAAAAGAATACTTCTGGCATGTGAAGCTTTTTGTTTCTGGAAGAGCTTGGGGGAAAAAAGCAGCTATCATTTTTCAACTATTGTCTAAATGAACTTAACTGAGCTCCACCTCCATCAGTCTTTTCTTCCCTTTTTACTGATAAGCGATCTTCTGATGTGGATGATCTTAAGATTCTTTGATGGGGTAGCAACATTGTTCTGTAAGACCACTTCTGTTCATAAGGCAATATTTTTAACGTGCTCGTCAAAAATTCTACCATTTCAACTTAAGTATAGGTGCTTTTCACTGGTTTTCTCATCTGTCTGTAGTCAAGCAATTTGCTTATTTTAAAGTTCCATGAACTATATCTAGTTTCACCGAGACACTTTTCACCAGATTTTTTCCCCACAGCATTTTAAAGTGAAATTGGACATTCACTTTGCTTTGTAGTCTTTCTAACACCGCTCTGGTCTGGAATCCCCTTTTTCAAGTCAGGATGGAATGTGAAAGAATGATTGCATCCATTCAAATGGCTGCATTTGCGATGTTCTTCTTTACAGTTGCATTTTAATGCAGTTAGAGTTTTGGGAGGCAGGGTTTTAGAAGGAGAGGATTTTATGGGTAAAACATTTCTCATCATGATCCACCTTTAAAAGCCTGGTAATTGCTAAATATGTCTTGAATACTCTGACTTCTTCCATTTATCTTTCAGAACTGAAAGATACACACATTTGAGGTTCCAGCTAATTGGCATAGTCCATGGCACAGAATATTGCCCTTAACCAGTTTTTTCCATTTCATATTACAAAAGAATAATGAAAGTATAGAACTTTCTAATACCTTAACAGTTAGGAAAGATCTGAACCATTTGCTAATGTTGCTTCATCTGGGATGGTGGAGTTATGAGGTGGCAGGGATACATGACAGTAGAAGTGCCCAGTCATACAAGAAGGAGCTAAATGGGCTCAGGATATTTGCATGTTTTACTGCTTTGAAACAAAGTCTCCAGAAACAAAGTTTGATATATGCAATCCCCCCAAAACCTCCGATGGAAAGTTGCCAAAGTAATAGTTCTGAACAAGAGACAAGGGAAAGGTTTCTTCAGAGCTCAGAGTATCCTCAAAAGCCATCTTCCTTTGCTGACACATTTAATTATATCTTAGCATTTGTATTTTCACATTTGTCACTTTCAGCATTTGTACTACAGGTATGGTTGTATATGAAAATGTTAATTGTCTCATGCGCTAAAGATTTGACCAAATAATGCCTTTTTAATAGGTCATTTGCTGTAGTTCTTGTATTGGATCTGTCCAAACCTAACGAACTCTGGACTACTGCAGAGAAACTTCTGCAGGTCACCAGGAACCACGTGAACAAAATTTTAACCAAACTGGAAAAGACAAATCCTGAAGTAGCTACTGAAATTAAACAGAGGATGCGGAACAATCTGCAGAGGGATCATCCAGTAAGTTACTTCTAATATTTTCTCCAGATGTCACAGGCCTTTATACAGTTAAAGATAATGCTTTTGAAAATCATAAACAACTCTTTTAGATTTTTATGCATGACTGAAAATCCATTTGATGTAGATGAACCTGTTCACTGGAAAATTATAGCAATTTAATAAAAATTCAATAAGAGCAGAAACAAGGAAAGAAGGTTTCTTATATCTTTTTGTTAGATATCTAATGTGATTGTTATGGCATGTTACACCAATCAAAAGAAATAGTTTTAGAGTAGCAGTTTGCTTCCCCCCCCCATCTTTTTAAAAGGAAGATGAAAACTAGAATGTACAAAAGTCATCTAGCAAGAGACTAGCTGAAGGTACAAATTTAAGCAAAGAATATAGTTGTAACAGCCATCAACATGACTATATACTTTGCATTTATTTAAATGTCTATCACAAACTCAATGTCTTTTGATAATCTGACAACTAATTAAATTATAAAATTTCAGAAATGTTAACATCAGTCCTTTAAACATAATTGCTAACTAAATCTCTGGAAAAGCTAAACTAGATTATGCGCAATAGAAGTGAAAAGTCATTGTGCATTAAACCTCTGCAAATGTTGTGTGTATATAATGCATAAATAAGTATTCAACAATTCAAAGACTTGGCACATAAATCTAGTTACTGTAACTTCTATAAAATGCTGCAATACAGCAAATGCTTATATGGCTCAAACATTTAAAAGTAACTTAAAATTTATGAGAAAGCAACATACGCAACACTCAGTAGATTTAGAGTATAGGGTTTGAGATCTGCTGGATTATGATTTTGTTTTTTACTTTTAGAGAAGGTAATTCACAAAAAGAAAATGCCTGCAAGCACACTTGGCAATAAATCATGACCACAGTGTCAAGTTTAAATATAGGGGCTTACATACCAGAAAACTGCAAGCTTTTTTCAATAAGTAAAAAGAATAATGCCATTAATTGTTAAGAAGAGGCGGCTTGTTATACTTGTCCTGTAGGGAACACAATTATACCTTCTAAACTAGAATTTCAATTCAGCCTTCATTATCAAAAACAGAAAGGATGCAAACAAAATGTTATGTTACTCCTCGGTTCTCTTTTTACTTTCATCATTGTTCAAGAAAAAATTATGTCAATTTTGTGGGAGGAAATACTGTCTTTTATAGTCAAAGTAAATGACAGTTTACGCAGATTTTTATTTGCCTTTTTATAGCTAAACATATTTTTATGATAAACAGGAATTGGTGAAGTTCTTGGAGGTTTTTTTTAATGTTTGGATATATTCCATTGGCCTGGATAAAGAATTATTGGCTATGATGATAAAGCATAAGTATATCAATTGCAGACCTTGTTTAAAAAGGCTGGATGCACCTAAAGTAGTCCATAATAAAATATTAATTCCATAGTCAAAAGATGAATAGGGTTCAGTATGCCAGTTTTAATGTTTCTGATGTTATCCCGAGTTCATTTTTTCTTGGTTAAGAAACTAAATCTAATTTTTTTTCAGTTCTATATTCTATACACCCAGTTTTAAGTTACGATCATTTTGCTCAAAGCTTTTGCCTTGACAGTGTATGAGTGAAGCCATTTTTTTTTCCTCTCAAAGTAGAGGATTGTGCAGTATGTGCAGCTTCTTGCTAACATACTGTCATTTAACGTGTATGTGAAATAACCGGTTTTAGAAGGGAACAGTTAGGTCAACCTGTGCTACAACACATCTCTTTTCTACTCTGCTGCAACCAAAGCAGCTGGACTAAATAACTGTGTGAACAGGAGGGGATTGTCTCATTTCATATGGACTACAGGAAAACCTTCCAGATAACTTGAGAATTATTGTAATCTACTTATTAACACTTTTATCAGAAGTTAGCTATTTAACAGTTAAATCTACACCCCCAGAGCTGTTTTTGTCCACTGGTATTGATTTGCATTTTCCTGGTTGTTAGGTGACGTTTCCTCTTTCTGCTGATAGCAAACATTTGAAAATCACATTAAATATTTTTTAAGAATTTGGAAAATGTGATGTGGGGAGGACAACTGTGTGACACAAGAAAATCATTCAGCTTAATTTTCTTGAGCTTTTTACTGTATTACTTTGGATATGATGCAAGGAGAGGGAGTGTGTCAAAAAGCCAGTTCTACTAATCCAATCTGGCAGTTGTTCTGTGAATATATGAAGTTTTTCCTCTCTTTCCTTTCCATCTAATGTTGGAGCTGGAGTATATAGTGTAAGAGCCCTTATGCCAGCAAGTGTTCTGACTGCTCAGGGGGATTATTTCCAGACCATTTATGAAGAAAATGAGAAAATTGTAGAATATGGTATGGATACTGCATCAAAGTTTATTCATCTAACGTAAGGTTTTGAAAAAATAGAGCTTGTCTTCTGTGAATTAATTTTAACCCCTTTCAGTTGTTTTAACAGTTGCAATCTTCTACAGTTTGTTTACACTGCTTAACTGTCGTATATCTGTTTAATAGGATTATGACTTAGTTGACCCTTTTCCAATACCCTTGGTGATAATTGGAAGCAAATATGATATTTTTCATGTAAGTAATACCTAATGTATTTTTTTAATAATTAACAAATACCTGGTAAAGATTCTATATACTAAAATCTTGGTAATATAACAGTAATCATTTGAACAAAAGTACGTCCAGTCAGCCTTTTACCACAAAAAAATCTTGCCTTCCACAATACTGTTGGACGGAATACTGTCATTCCTTCACAAAACACTCCCAAACTGAGATTTTTGAGATGTACTTGGAAAGTGTTGAGATATAAGTTGCTGCAGACCAAAGAGGAAAACAAAAAAAACCCCATCATGTTGATGACTTTCTTTTATAATGAGAGAAATCCAGCTCCGTGTGTCCCTTCTGACAGCAGCTCTAAGTTTATGGCAGTGAAAGAGGGGCATCTCTCAAGTCAGCTGGTCAGATTTTTTTGGTAGCTGTGGCAGTACGAACAGTAAACTATCATTTCAGTCTGGAACTTTTTTTTTTTTTTAAAGTACTTCTTAAGTTTTCAGAGACAAGTGAGTAATTGCATCTTTTAGGGGGGAGAGGAAAGAAATGTCATAGTACTGCTGGATTCTCTCCCAGGGCGTTAAAAATCCAAACAAATGCATACTCAATTTTCAAGCAGCACTTGCTCATGAGAAACTAGAACAGTATGTTTGATTTTTAGCTGCCGTGCTGGCAGCCTGTGCTTCTCTGGATGACTACATAGTGCACTGATACTTGGCTGACTCTTTGAGTTACTTAATTCTTTATTAACAAGGTACTGTGCCTTCTTTCATACTGAGACTTTATGCGGAGCCATGACCTCTTTAAAATTCAGTGACTCTCATGTAATAAGCACAGAATAACAGCCTCATTCCATTGGGGTCTATGGACAGCCTCCTGCAGGCTTCACTGGGACTAGGTTTTCACCGATTTTTATCCAGGGAAGGCCATCTGTGTGATCTTATGTTAAAGAAACATTCATGAAAAGGTGGTTTTATGCACCTTTCAAATCTTGCAGGTATTAGACTTTAGAGAGCATATACCCAAAGGTTTACTGAAAGTTGAATATCTTCACAAAAAGAAAAAATCCTTGTTCTTCTAGTATGTAGTATTTCTACTTCTAAAAATTTAAAACAAAATAAAACAAATTAATTGGAAATGGAATACACATTCCCAATTAAGAAACTTTTTCTGGACTAACATATTGCCTGAATTAGGCTCCCTCTGTAAAAAAGAAACAAAGGGAAATTGTGACATTTCTTTTCAGAGTAGGCTGTTACTGATTCTGTCTTAAGATATAATTATGCTGACAGCTGAAAACCTCATATATTGTAGCCTAAGTGCGTTGCAGTTTATACAAAAAATTAAAAGTTCTAGCTGTAATATTTTGGTTTTTGTTTCTTACGTATATGTTCCAATATCAACTTTTTCAGGAGTTTGACTCTGAAATGAGGAAAATCGTAAGCAAGACACTTCGATTTATTTCACATTATTATGGAGCATCATTAGTGGTGTGTATATTCACTTTCTAACTAAGGATAGAGAAGATGAGCAATATTTGTGTTACAAAACAATATTTAAAAAAATAGAAATGTAAAACTCCTAGAGAAAATGGGATTTAATTGGTTTTACAGTAGCTTTCTTCATGAGCTAATCTGTCAAATGGGTTACAGGTATTGGCAGGGGATGGGTGGATATACCTTATGAATAAAAAAAATGCATAATTCCCAGTATCAGCAAAAAATAAATAAAAATAGTTATCCATTAGCCAACTCAGTTTCTGTATTGAGTTTACTGCACATCTGACAAAAGTTTTTTGGTACAAGAAAGGAGGACAGGGAAAAAGTGATCGCCCTAGATAGAATTAGAGAACTGGCCGTTTTGGTAGAAGCATGAACTTATGTCTAGTGACCTGGCTTCGGTAGATTTAAAAACTTAGATCCAAGGCCTTGTCTTCACAGCAGTTTAAACATACCGGATTATCACACTTACAGTGTTGAAGAATAAAGGCAGGGATTTTTTTACAGTAATGAGTAGGAACTGCCAACCATGAGGACAATGCAGTATTTATGTGGGTATATAAATTGATTTTGAGTTTGGCTGGTCATCTCCTGCGTAAAGACAAAAACATGCATGCTGAGGTTCACAATCCAAAAAAGCTGCCTCTTGGGCTCTCTCTACATGAGAACATGGTTCCAATTGTATCAACCATCATTTATGTAATAAATAATACTTAATAGTGGCTTATTTTGATTACCAAACAACTTACATTTGTTTTAAATTGTTACAATCACAGCATGTCCTTTTGCATCCATGTAAAATTGTACAGCTTTTGTACTTTGACACGTGAATTCATCTTTTGTTAATTGAGAATACAACTGTCTTGATCTAAAAAAATTTTTTTAAAAGAGTATTTAAGCATTATTGTAATTAAAAATGAAGAACTAGGAGCCTAAAACTCTGGCAGCTAAATCCTGATTGCCATTGAAATGAGTGGGAGAAACTTCATTTCCCACAGTAGGGATCTGACTTCTTTCTCAAAGACATGAATCTGTTAGGATACAAAAGCCCTTAGACAGGAATAAGCACACTGTTTGAGAGGATATTCTGGGAGCTGCTTTCTGATAAATCTGTACCAGTTCTGCCACTATCAAGTTGCTTTATGATGTGTGAACGGTTTTAGTTATTCATTACATTTCTAAATTTTTATGGTATTCTGGATAATTTTTAGTGTATTTTAAAATCTTAATAACTCGTTAGTCTTGGGCAAAAAATTTGTGTCTCTACGTGCATACTTCAGAAGTTGTGAATCAATATTTTAAAATTTATTCTTTAATCTTTATGCTATTTTTCATTTAATCTTTCTTGATCTATATATTCAGTCACAAATACATTCATGTTTTGGAAAGGGAGGGTGAGATTTTTATTGTAGTAAATTCAGTGCACATATACGAAATCTATTGAGGTCAGGAATTAGCCAAGCTCTATCTGAAATCCTCTATGCAGATGACAATGTAATATTTCTATGATGGAAGATCATAATGTATATTTTGTTTTCCGATTCATTTAGTTTACCAGTAAATCTGAGGCTCTCCTGCTGAAAGCCCGTGTTCTTATTAATCACTTGGCATTTGGCTATGATAAAAGGTAACATAATTATTGTCCAACTATTAAATGTCTTGCCCAGAGTTTAAAAGTACTTAATAAAAAATATTTTAATCACCAAAACATTTTTTTTCTTAAATATGATCTCTGAAAGATTCTTGTTCATGGACTTCTACTCCTGTGTCTCAGCTGCCTATCTCTGCACAGGACAGTGATAACTCTTTGGTTTTGATCCCAAAACTGATGGATTAGAAACATGGTCACCACTAGAATTGAGTAGATTTTCATTTACGTGTATTTGTATGCAAGGCCCAGTAAGGGTCTAGTCTTGGCTAGAATAATGTCATTTTTCGTTGATTGCTAAATGCTCACTTGATACATTTTCTTTTTTCTGTTTAGCAAGTCTTTATCAGTGGATCCCGGCAAACCTCTGTTTATACCAGCAGGCCTGGATTCGCTGAGCCAAATAGGTTAGGACATTTCCTGTTCATCGTGTTTGTCGCTTAATTGTTTTTGAAAATGAGAAAAAAAATCTAAGCAAATAAAAAATAAATTATAGCACATCAGCTCACTTGATACATTTTCTTTTTTCTGTTTAGCAAGTCTTTATCAGTGGATCCCGGCAAACCTCTGTTTATACCAGCAGGCCTGGATTCGCTGAGCCAAATAGGTTAGGACATTTCCTGTTCATCGTGTTTGTCGCTTAATTGTTTTTGAAAATGAGAAAAAAAATCTAAGCAAATAAAAAATAAATTATAGCACATCAGCATCAGTTTTAACAGATTATTGAAGGAAATTACTTAGAAATTACAGTTACACGATTCAGTATTTATATTATTGAGAATTACTTGCACAGTTTTGTTAGGTAGTTTAATAAGGTATCAGGACTACTTCAAATAGTAAAGTACCAATAAGCGTAGTTCTGAAAGAAAATATAATATACGATACCACTCAGCCTGTTTCATGGTAGGAGGTGAGTGTTTTTTCAAACTTGTTTCAGCTTGTCACTGTAGAAGATAAAATATTAAATTAGATGGATCATTATCCAAAATGCTTTGATAATTTATGTTGTTATGACAACATACTTGTATTACTTTGTGCTGTGCTCTATTCCTTAGGACCACCACCCGCTTCTGATAGTGATATTGGAAAGATGCGTGCAAACACACCGTTGGAACTGTGGAAAAAAGTATTTGAGAAAACATTTCCTCCCAAGGTAGGTATTTACACGTCTGCTTCACAGGTTCTTTTCTCACAGAATAGTAGTAATATCACTGCTAATTTTTGTCTTTCAAGTCCAGTCACTGGAATTTCAGTCTCACTTAGCAGTGCTGTTTCTTCCAACCTCTTTAATTCATACTTTTTTAAAAGGTACAGATTTGTATGTAGTGGTGCTTTGATTATTGGCTTCTGCATCTTCAGTTGCCTTCCTACATTTAGTAATAATGAAAGTACCAATGTAACCCTCTGTTTTTTCCAAAGTTATACCATTGCCTTTCATTACATTGAGAGACAAGCTATACTCAGCGTTTTTGGAATTCTATAAGGTGACGTATCCCCTAATGCCTAAACCAAATGACAGTGATATTCCAAGATGAGAGCTCTTCCTGGCTGTAGCAAGCTACTGATCCTTGTTCTCCTAGGGCATGAGGCTTTGAATGAGGCGAGTGTGTTGAGTTCCTTGCCAAAATCTGTCAATTTGCTATGGGAAGTGTTTGGATTTGCAAGGTAATTAGAATCCCTTGGCACCTATGTAGTGATAAATCTTGTACATATTTCAGAAAATTCTGGACCCAAGAGGCAAAGCCCCAAATACTTCTTTTCAATAAAAAGTAATTGCTGCTGTTAGGAAATCAAAATTCTTTTCTATTTGACCTGAGCAAATACAGGCTGCTGCTTTCTCCTCGTGTACTAGATTGTATCACAGTTCTTTATCCCTGTCCATTTCCTGCCCTACGGCTTACCTGGGCAGGCAAGGAAGTCAGTCAGGGCTATGAAACTGTGCCTCAAATTATGGTGCACAAACTGGGCTTTTTCTACTTTTCAGTCTATGGATCTCCATTCTTGGCGAGAAGGAGTCTGAATTCACTCTTTCCCACTCACTTGACTACTACATATCAAAGCCTAGAAATTATTTCAGGTGGTTTGTGACCAGAAGAAATTATCACTAAGATGCCGTTCTGACTACAGTATGCCCCAACATGATAAAGACTGAACTTTACTTTTCAGAAACTGTACAGGACTATTATTTTTCATGTCACTTTTGCCCATAGCCTTTTAAAACACAATAAACAAACCTTCCCCAACCCCCTATGCCATAACTCCCGAACTCCCCCTGAAACAGCTGGAGAAATGAATACATTTCTCATCTTGCAAGCTCCGTCAGTGTTCTGAGGTATTAGTCTAATTAAAGAAGATTTGCCAAGGAGATTCCCAGTCTTCTGTTTTGGTTCCAAAATATGCTTTAAACTTCAAAGCTGTTTTTATGATTGTGAATTTCTTTTTTCCATCACCTCATCTAATAGTAATTATAATTCTGATTTATTTTATTCCATCATTTGTATGATTGACTTATTGCTACTTTCCATTTGTTATGAGTAAGGAGCGATCTGCAGGACAACATTTAAAAAAAATAAATCTTATTTGATAGTGTTTCTTTCTTTTAGCGTATTTGCTCTTTGGAATTAAACTTAAATTTAGAGTTCCCTCAAAGTTAGTAAATGAGATTTCAAGTGTTCGGCAAAAAGATAGTAACCAATTTCTCAGATATTGAAATAACGCTTCTGGTAACCAGAACTGAATTTTAGTCTTGAGTATTAAATACTCTAGCAAGAGCAACCTTAACACAAATGTCATGGGCCAGAAGGATATTTTCATTTTGAGGAGAGAATAATAAACATCTAGCAAATAAGAATATTTTCTTTCCTTTAAGATCTAACTGCGCTATTACTTTCTCATCATTTTACCGATCTAAGATAAAATACAGTGTATTTTATCTAATCCGTGTCCTATAGCACAAAATTCTTCCATAAATGCAGGATTTTAATACATTTGTATTAAAAGCAAAATACTTCCATTAGATCTACAGAGTTGCATTTTCTTGTTAAAAGAACAAAAAATAAATTTTATCATTTGGGCCTTTATCATTTTTTCTCTTAGAGTTTCTGCAATTTACAAGATACCAAGGACCCTGCACAGGATTTACAATATGCTGAGTACGAAGTGGATGTTATGAGAGCTCAGAAAAACCAGGTGTGTGGTTGTTCTCCAGTTGCTGTTCACAGTCGGGTATTCCAGAACCACCAGCATTGCTGAATTAATTGTAGAATATACTCGTAGCCCCCTTTTTGCCTTTAAATAACTTCAATGTTAGTTTTCAACTTAGTCGTTTGGGCTTTTTTTTTCCATTGGTAGACATTAAGCAGGTAGAGCATTGTTAGATCTCAAATTTTGGCTCTGTGGTTTCTTTAGAAATGAATAATTCAAATTTTCCCTCTAGCTGTCTTCCAGAATTATTTCACTAAAATAATATTGAAGCAAAGCTGTGAACTGTGAAGCTTTCTTGGCAGTAATGTCTTCACTTCTGCACCCCGTACTCTCATTTGGATGTTGACTAGCAGGAATTCTAGGAAGCGGTATCAAGGTTTGGGGTGGGGGCTGTTTACTTTTTTAATTTTTGTCTTCCACCTTCAAAACTTTTTATTTAAACTGGAAAGGTACTGAGATGATAACACTTCTGACTCGAGTTTGCAGGCTAGCTACGTCTTATCTTAAACAGAGTGAACAGAATTATTCCACAGTGATATTTGGCTTAACCCCTGAATTCCAGGAAAGACCTTTAGCGGGGAAAGGGTCTTTTATTTTTTCTTATTAATTCTGAAGTGTTTCTGCATTTCCCTACATTTGTGGTGAATTAATTTTGTAGAAAAATTCTGTGGCAAACTAGACGAAGGTTAGAACATTGCCTTAGATATCAGTGTATGTACAGTATTTCTACTCACGTGATGTTAATAGTCTTCATCAATATCATAGGTATGGGTCTGTTAAAATCAATCCAAGATTTGTGTATTTTTCTTTGGTTGGAAGAAGTACCACATACTTATTCTGGAAACTCTCTATTTCGTATAGATTCTTTTGTTCCACACACAGAAAATTCTTTGCTAGAATGACTGAGAAACATTCCACTCTACTCTCGCAGCTTATATGTGGGCTATTTGTATGCCATTTAACTTCCTTGTGGACCAAGTTACTGCGGTTAAAGGAGGTCTTTCTAACAGCGCTTAAGGTGATGGATTGTACCAATCTAGATCTCACATGCTTTTACAGACCCACGCTCTTGAGATGAAAGGCAGTTTTATTGAATTGCACTGCAGTTAATCTCAACTAACCCTAAAATACCACGGCAAATTTCATCTTTTTGCACGCTTGTAAAAGAAAGCCAGAGGATTAGATTATTACTGCTATCACATTTTTGTAGAGTTTAGTTAGATTGCATAAGGCAGTAAACCTGTAGTTACCTGATCTAAAAAAAATACATTAATAATGTAAAAGAATAAAGCAATTTCAAGAATCCCCTGCAGTCTTTGAACTTGCACATTACCTGTAATATCCTGTTAATGTAGGCATCAGTTCTGAATTTCTGTTGCATCAAGAGCAGCCTTAGAACTCATTAAAATTTGTAAAGCACATTGCTTTTGGAATTTATAATGTAATCTCATACTCAGTATATCTATATATCTCAAAATAACTATATGGTGTACTAGGTTTGTTATTTTTAGATAATACTTACGTCTTGCAAAAGAAGAGACTGGTATGCCTTGATTAAATCATATAGGAAATTATTAATTTTCTGTTTTTAAACAAAAGAGACAGGCTTTTAGAATCTTAATCTGTTCAAGGGCATTGCAAACCAGTGTAGCTTCTTTTAGTTGGACTACTACAAGTAATTTGAGCATTAAAGAGAAAATTACTTTTGTTATCTGCAGCTATTTCCTGAACTTCTCTATTGTGAAGTTCAATTATTACAAGACTATTTGCACACTATTAAAATGTTTTATACTCCAAGAATTTCATTCAATTTGAAATACACCAAGATAGCAATATACATCTAAAAGAAAAGAACTCAGTAGTTGCAGTGAGTCTTGAAGTGTCTTTGGATTTCCCAGTTATATGAAAAGTGGCACAAAAATCCTATTTTTAAAGCAACGTTTTAAATGCATCATAAGTCTGGCACTCTTTATAGAGTCTCATGATATCTATTGTGTAGGAGGAATGGTATATTAAGATGTTTAATATGCAACATGTTGCTAATGAAATAATAGGACAGAATGCAAAATGGATGTTTCCTATGATGACAGCGTATATTTTAAAATCATTTAAGTGCATGTTGTCATTTTTCTCGGTTACTTTCGGTTAATTAATATGCCACTTTGGACTCTAGGTGATAACCAGTTTGCTTGTTTATCTCAAAGATAAGCTTTAAAGGAAAAAAAAAACCACACAAAAACATAGCAACAGAAACAAAATACAGCCCCTGTCACTGAGTCTGATTGATAGAAGAACTAGCATACCTGGCTGACATTGCAGTCTTGGTCAGGACAGCTCAATAACACTGTAATAGATTTACAGATAACTGTGGCAATACAAAGTTTAATTAAATCAGAGCTATTTCTCTGTGAGGAATGTTTTTAGTGTCCTAGCACTTGATGCAGCCAGTGTCAAAATGGATCCTTGTACTTTGGATCATATATTCCTATTCCAGCAATTTCCAACTTTGTAACCTTGGTTGAAAGGTTTGTCTGCAACGAGGGTTTGTACACGCTAGCAGAGTAAAAGGTTAAATTCTCAAGTATAAAATTAGAAAACAGTTTTTTAAAAAAAAAAAGTACAGAAACAAGAAAGTACCTGGCTCACTCCCACGTACTAGCTGTCAGCTAGTATTTATCCGATACGCTTTTTGGCTGTAGCAGTTAAGAGTCCAGCTCATCAGCATCCTGTCACAAGAGTGTTTTCTTTTAGACCAGATTATTTTGCCTCCTTAATATTTTCAGAGTTAACTATGAGACGTACCACACTCTTCTAGACCTTTTTGCTCTGGAAAGCTCTCTGAGGCTATCTTTTCCTCACTGTGCCTTTGTTCAAGATAGAGAGATGTGCTCTTTCTCAACTGTGTCTTTTCAGAATGCTTTTCCTAGTTCTGACCCCACAGGCATAAAACGTGCAGGCTTATATCAAGTAGTGCTGTTGCAATTGTTTACAGCTTTTTCATTCTCTGGAGTTAAGCTCCGAGAGAGAGAATACAGCACCAGGGACCTTTTTGGAATTTACATTTTTAATGTATTTCTTAACTAGCAGATTCTCTTGGGGAATGACTGGAATTTTGTGCTCTTTGCAGGGCTTTCAAGGGTCAAGAAAAACATTCATTTTGCATATGTATTAGGCTTTAAACGTGTAGCTTGCTGTTAACTCTTCATACAGCCCATGTAAAACATAAACAAGATGACAAACTTGTCATCCATTTCTCCCTATTCTCTGCTAGCTTTTTGGCTTTTGATGCTTTAAGGTGACCTTAATTTCATTTTAGGTACACACATAACTTGAATAAGAGCGAGATCTTTTAAAATAATATTGTCGATTAGAGCTGCACGTATACCACCTGCATCTGTGAGCACCTAGGAGTGCATGAAAGTCTTGTTCCTTAGTTCCTTCTAAATGTTTGTGGCAGTGAGATGGCACATGGGGGTGTCTGCTCTGTTTCCTTTAGAAATGCTCTCTGCCACAGAGGTAAGTACCCTAAGATGTCTTTTCGAAGGTTTTTGTTTGTTTCAGGTCTTAGCTATCCTGTTATGCCTTGTACTGCTAATACTCAAAATAGGTGCTTGGACCTTTTTCATCTGGATATTTGACTGCAGCTTCATTCATTGAAGCAAATGATAAAGCTAACCTTGAGCTCAAAGAATTGGATAGCCTCCCAGTCAGGTACTTAAGAAGTCAGTGTCACGCAATGCCAAAGTTCACATTGACTGGTCCTTGTTACACAAAGATACTACTTTAGGGATTGGTGCCAGTTTTAGCTGAAGCCCAATGCCATAAAGTATACTAAAAAAAAAAAAGAAAAAAAAAAGATAGATGCCTGGTGCTGTTTGGTGTCAGCTAACAAGAAGTCATGGAAGCAGATCTCAACGAACAGGGCTATAACTGTTAAGACTTTAAACAGAAGAAGGGGAGGTTCTATAACATCTCGCAAGGAAGCGTAGTCCTATCTCCCCTAAAATAAGACTGACCTAATTAACCATGTCATTTACAACTAAAAGTCATCTCGGTGTCAGATCTGCAGCTGTCTGATTGAGACTGGGACTGTGTTGGCCAACAGAATGAGAGCCATATTTTGTCAGCATACTTCTCTGACACAACCATACTGCAGAACTTCAGGAGACAATTTCAGTCTCATTCAACAAAATAGAAGATGATTGCATATTGTGCGATGAACCTCCTTGGTCAGACCGGTGTTACTGGGCAGAGGAGTATGACAGGCACCTTAACGTGGGTAACAGAGCAGTAGCATCCTTAATTTTTTCCAGAGGAGGATAAGCACTAGTCTTCATATTGTGGAGAAAAAGTTATTTAGGATGTTTACTCAGCTGCCAAGAATAAGCTTTCTCATTTTCACATGAAAGCATGGCCAAATGGGTACAAAAGATTTTTTTTTTTTTTTTAAACCAACTTAAAGAGCATTATTAGAGCACTGTTATTAAATTTCCTACTGAAGTTTAGGTGCTTAAAATTTTTAATCCTTGATTCAGTACTTGGTTATTTTCACTATGTTCCAGATTGAGGGCACTTTCAGTAACTTTCTTTTTCATGCAGTTTAAGTCATGTCAGTCCCTCAGAACTGAGGAAATGCAACAATTAAGGCTTTTCCTACAGTCTTAATTTTTCCTCCTTGTTTGTAGACATTATAGTATTGTCTTTAATTACATGATCATATACTATTTTGCTGATGTCTCAATTCAATTGTTCAGTATTTCTTTTCATCATCCTTATTCTTTGTGTACCTTATTTCTCAACCTGCCATTCAGACACTTCAATGAACACAAAAGTATTAATTTTTTTTCTCTGAGAATGTGTGGTAATGCTATCTATCTTATCTGAGTGCTTCACAAACATCGGTTAAGTCTGTCTTCCCAGTCCCTTTATGAGATTAGGTGTGATCTTCCCCATTTGACAGATGAAGAATTTACAGAAACACAGAAGTACAGGAGCATTAAGGTTAAAAAAAAAAAAATTAAAAATCCACTTTATGCCAGTGTTGAGACATCTAGGACAAGTTGCTAGCACTAATGAAGTTTAAAGCACTCAGAGCACATTGAAAGCATATTTAAATTGCAATTGTTTGAATGTTAGTCTTACCTAGCTGTGTCTCCAAAATAAATATTTATACTTTTGTTCTGTACTTCTGTATGTAGTGGTATAGCTATACAGTTTTAATATATGCTGTGGTTTTGATACTTTGCATTTCTGTGTTGTTTTGCATTGTCTTTACACTGAATTGCCTTCTAGCTAGCTAAAATTGCAGCAAAATAAATTCTGCTAAATTATCTGCCTCTTTCTTGAAACAGTTTAGTCAGATGATAAATCTGTAAAGCTAATTATTTAGGCAACACCTGTAGACATGACCCCAGACAGCATTGTCGTTATATGTAAAACTTCATTGCCTAATTTCACCCCTTCCTGTAGCCTTTGAGAAAGTTGTTAGAATTTAAATTATTTACTTAGCATAAATCAGGTTACATGTTTTCCTTAAAATATCACAGTATTCTTTCTATTCCTAACTGTTGGCAAGTTCCCAACAGTTCAGTACATTCCAAGATCATAATTATTTTATATTAATAATGAGGGAGTGAAAATACTGAGTAAAGACTGGCTTAGAGATAGAACAGTTCAGTAGTACTAGAGTTGTATTTAATAATGCAACTTACTAGATTTAGACTAGACACAATAAGTTCTGTGTTAGTCATCTATGAGTTACTTAACTGTAAAACTAGACTTCTGCAAGCATCATGAAGAATATGCACTAATTAAATATCCTCTTACTGCTTATAAATCTGTGGTGCTTTCTGAAAATTTCGCACTGATGACAAAGCTGCTGAAGTTATTTCCTGAGAGAGAGAAATTTCCATTTATTATTTCCATACAGTTTTTAGATTATTTTCTTTGTTGCTCTGCCCTTTATTTTCTTCTTCCTCCCTCTGTGCTCTGGATTGAGAACTAATACTTCTGTTAAATTCACCAAGTGTGAATTTTATTATTTTTGTCCGTTCTGGTATCTGTACAACTACAGTGAAACCTTCCTTGCTCTGTGAAGTCCACTCTTAAAATCAGAATAGCAATCGTATAAAACACATGCCCACTTTTGAGGGTCTGTGCTACATTTATACTAATCCCTGGTTTACATCCACCTCTTTTCCTGATCCAAGTAAGATATGATGACTTTTTTTTGTATTGCAAGCAGTACATGGTTAGGTCTAACAGTACCTCATTAGAGTATCATCTTCCTGCAAATACGTTGGAAGCCTTCTTATTCTTAAATAAACAAAAAGCAATCGTAGTGCTTTCTAAATTAATTTTTGCTGAAAAAATCTTCAGAAATAATTCCCGACACTATGCACCACTACATAAAATTCAGAGGATGAAATTGTTGTTTGGTGATGTTGCTAGAACCTTTTATTACAGGCTTCAAAATTCCCAGTAGCACTTCTGACTGAAACAGGCTCATTTGTCTACCATGTTAGTACTCAGCTGATGTCAAGTATAGCATAATGTAGATTGCCTCATTTTTCATACCTAATTTGTTTTATTTATACCTCCACAATTTGAGCCTCTGTTTGTTTTTAATAATCTAATTACTATCTAGAAGATGCATAGTTTTAGTTACGACACTGGGTTTGCATTTTACTTTTACACACAGATGCTAACTCTTCAATCTACTAAACAGTAGCACCTGAAAGAATATTTTAACTACTAACTGAAAAACAAAACAAAAGTAAAAGCATGGCATCACTGTCTGTCATGAGTAATACACTTCCCGAAAAACCTCAAGCAATGATGAATAAGAATTCCACAAATATCCGGTACCGTAGATTGAATAGATATGGTATGCCGATTTCCTAAACACCCATTGCATTCCTCTGAAATATATTTCTGCTTACTGCTTTCTGGACAAGCCTGTGCTCTGCAGGGCTTTCTAAGGTCCACTGGTAGGTCTCTAAATTATCACCACTGGTGACATGTAAGCTTACAGAAGTTCATTTCAGTCCTGTGCTTAAAAAAAAAAAAGAAAAAGAAAGACAGTAGGCCTTGTTTTTCTAGTTTCTTTGTGGTAATCTTCAGGAATTACCAATCCATTTTGCTTCTTGAAAGGCCCTGACTCCATGCGTGTGAAACAGTAGTTTCTGTTGGGTAATTCTGATTTCTGTTTTTAAAACGCAGGTAGTGTTACATTGCTGTATGTTCATAGGGAGCCTGGTTTCTCAAACTGAATGTCTAAAACCCCACCCAAAATGTCTTCTACCCTAGAAAGCAAGTATCTAGGCCTAAATAAATAAATAAATAAATAAAATCTAGCTCCTTGTGTGAGAGCAAATGTGGCAAAATTTATAGCACTTTTAATATAATTTTATTAAAAATAAAAAACACATTGTACGTTTTTTCTACAGTGAAAAATGTTTGTACGTGCTTTAAATGTTTAGGTGGCTAATGTATGAATCTTACAGCTTTTAATAATGAGGAGATTAGATTAATAAGTATGTATGTTTCTGTTTTAGGAACTTGAACAATACAAAAGAAATGCCGCTAAATCCTGGAAAGAAATGGATTTTGACCCTGATTGATGAACAGCTATAGGTGTCTTCATTTGAACATTATACAAATTACTTTAAGCATTTTAACATTACACTAGCAATTTAATCTGATGCAGTTGAAAATATACAATATCAAACTACAAAATTAATATTTATTAAGCATTCCGGTTACTATTTTTAATAAAAATAGCCATTTATTTGTTCAGTCCAAATTTAAGTATATCTTGGTACTGACACAGAGTTTTAAAAAGTGGGGAGAAAGGAATTCTAGACTGTTCAGAGATGGGTTTGAATATGAAGACTGGCATTCATCAGTTCTACCTACTCTATAGTTTATAACACAATATTTGATTTATTTTTTAATGCTTCTGCCCTAAACACGTATTTAAATATAAACAAGTTTTCACACCCAAAATACGAAACTGCATAGTAAAGTATGCTAGGCGTTCTTTTCCTAGTTCCTTGCATATATAATTCAAAAGCAAAGCTTAAGAATATATTTGCATCATTGTTTGATGTATTTGAATAGGATAGTTCCATAAAAACTGGCAGAATAAAGTGGAATTAAAACCAGGTTTGACCTGATCTAAAATTCAGAAGTTTGCTTTATCACGGTTTCAGTATCATACAGTTTAACACAGGAATTATTTCTTGCAATGTATAATGTTGCAATAACTTTGCACAGAATTCAGAAGACATTTCTGTCAAATATTCAAATGCTATGAAGTCAGTCTAATCAATTTGACAGATACTTGGTTAGTGGTGGAAGTGTAAGTGATGCGCATGCAGCCTCATGGTGAAACACACTAGCCTAAACTACACACGGCTTTTTGTCCATGGACATCCTCGCTGTTATGAGATGGCCTGAGTGTTTTGAGAATACGCAAGACAAGATCTAGAGTAAAGCCAGAGGTGTCTCTTGAGAGGTAAGACTTCTTGTTAGAGAATATATGTCTGAACGGTCACTTGGCAGACCAGATTGTAAGAATGTTCCCTGATGAACAACCCTACATGCGCATAAAAACGGGAAAGACAAGCTAATGTAGTATCTTTCCAGCTCTTTAAAGTTACTTGTTATTTTTAACATATTTGTTCATCAAATGGTTTTCTGATATAACATTTGTAACTTAGAATATTATACATAAAGCTACTAGAAAAAATCTTGGCCTCACACTTAAGTGGAGAACTTGCATTTACTCGAGGATTTCAAATTCTTCGTTACAAAGTGCATAATCTCAAATATATCAAATTAAACTAATTATATTATTATGGAATTTTAAGATACAAATACACTTACCTCCTCGAAGAAACCTCTAGCTATCCCTCTGTAATAAATAATTTCTTCACTGAACATGCGAAGTAAGTTATAAAATCTGGGAATTCAGTGTCTGTTAGGCTTTCAATTTTGAGAGGTACTTATATTGATTAAATGGATAAATTAGACTTTGGCATGTTAGTGAGCCCGTGAGAATAATTTCCAAAGATGCAAACTACATCGCTTCCAAGAACTGGCAAACAACTTTTATATTTTTCTTCCCTAGCTAAATAGACATTTTATTAACAAACAAAAATTTGTTCTAGTAATTCACAAACTGCTTCCAAAACAAGATTTAGAATTTTATAATGAAAAGAAGGAACAGATGTAAATAACATAATTGTCTTCTCTGATTTACCATCGTTTACAAGACAAAAACATGTTGGGTAACTTTTATATTGCTTAAAGATTCTGTACTCATTGACTGTAAAGTATGCATAAGATTAAAGTGGAGTGATTTCTTGATTCTGTCTTTATTTACACTTACTTGGTTTGTTGCATTTCTACAAATCCCAAAAATGGTATCAAAACAAAGCATAGGAGTTAAAATACAAGATTTACTAGCAATTATACCTCTCTGCTTATTGGTAATGGTTAAAACCCAAAACAGTGTGAAAAGATTAGAGCGCCATCGATACATTGTTAAAAATTGACAGCAACAGCAGACTAAGTTAAATTCAAAAAGTCCTTTAAAACACGTAGTACTGTTGATTATGGCTGATTTGGGAGTGGGGTGGGAATACCAATAGCAGGAAGCCATTCATGCTCTTAAGAGAACATTGTTTTTCAAGATGGAAAACATCCGGTTAGAAACAAACATAAGAAGATGAATGTGTTTCCGTATGTATAATCACTTAAATTCTATCTAAAATCCATCAATTTAAGCCTTCAACCATAATCAAATTAAAAGTGTATTATTAGACTTTGTTAGCACTGCTACTTTTTTATTGCCTGCCAATAATTCTCTCTCTTATTTTGAAGCTCAGAATTGCTATAATGGCAAGTCCTGGTAGAAAAGCGTAGAGTATTAAGAAATCGATTGTGAACCGGGACAATGCACCAGGAAAGTTTTTTTCAATGAACTGAATGCCATGAGAGAAAATACACGCAGCATTAATTGCAGAGGAACTGTTGGCTCCACCTGTCAAAAGAAAAAATTAATTTCTTTAGTAGGTGAATCAGTAAAATTAAAACTCGGGCTTCAGTATCTAGCTCGTACATTTAATATACCTAGCCCTAATGTTATTTTAACGATGAACTATACCCACAGCAATATTTCCCATCATTTTGGAATAAGAACAGACAAGCCATATGTTTCTGCAGTTAATCTATGCCATATTTTTTTGAAGGGAAGAGTAAAGGGTCACTAGGAGCTTTCTATTTTGTTCATGCCAAACAAAAGAGGATTTATAGCTTTTCAGACACATTATCTGGAGGGGCCTCAAGAAGCAAGTTGCCCAATGTGGTAGACTTACGGTGTTCATATTTGTTGAATGCTTCCAAAATTCAGGAAATGGAGACTGTCTGAAGGGCACATTAAAAATCAGCTGTTTATTATTACTACCAAAGTCATGGATTAATTTTCTAACGTTTGCCAGCTATGCTCTTGTAATAAAGAGGGACAGGAGAGATTAATGGATAAAGAATATATAGCCTTGGAGAGGAGCACAGACACCTGGCTACAAAGCCCAAAATGTCTTAGGGTAGGTCCAAAGCTGTAAGTTTTACCCCCGCTGATGGATGTTAGCTACTAACCCTGCCAACCTGATTGATTCTAGTGTTTTGCCGGTTATCTGGCTCACAGCCTGACAGATGCAAGCTGCTCAGTATATGCCATCGTAACATACTTGAACTGAAGCCTCACTAGTATGAAAGGAAACATCTGGTCAGGTGTTACCTGTCAGTGCTCCCTGCACTGACATTTGATCTTATACTGTGCAATTCTATTGATCTTCTATTTGCGTAACACTGCTCCGATAAGCATATAACAGGCTGCAAAGTTTACCTTCCAAAATGTCCCCAAAGGGGGGGATAAAAGAACAGGTGAAGAAGAAAAAGATGAAAAACTGAAAGAATGAGAAATGGTTGAAAAAGGGAGTCAAAGTTTTGTCTAGCTTGCGGAGCCAACGAGGAGAGGTGCTATGCTGCACTATGATCTCGCCAACAAGGAGGGGCTGGGGGGGAATGTGAAGCTCAAGGGCAGCCTGGGCTGCAGTCACCACGAAATGGTGGAGTTCAAGATCCTTAGGGCACCGAGGAGGGTGCACAGCAAGCTCACTGCCCTGGACTTCAGGAGAGCAGACTTTGGCCTCTTCAGGGATCTGCTTGGTAGAGTG